CCAGTGTTTACAGATATATTCTTTATAAATAATTTGAGGAAGTGGATTTGAATAATTGCTTCTCTGAGGAATACAGTCCATATCTTTTGCATTAAAATTTAAATCTATGTTTTTGCATGCCCCAGACTAGGACACTTGGGGAGCAAGTAGTCAGGAAAACATTCATGCTTTTGAGTTGTGTTGAAGTCAGTCCTTCAAAAGAGAGAGATCTGTAGTTGGGTAAGCAAATTTTCACTGATTTCAGTATATCGATGTTTAGAATTTGTATTTCAGAATTATGTTAATTTACAGCAGTAAACCTCCTTTGCTAAATTGAAAAAGAATGTGTACTACTAAACTGACTTTGTTTGCTAAATATTGCAAAGAATCAAGATCATGTTATGTAAAATATGCAATTTATGTATGAAAAAGCTGTTGTGTTTTGTTGTGGAGGCTTTTTCCACCATCAATCCATTTCTCCATTAATCCAACAGCAATTATAATAATAATACATATTTCAGAGTGAAAAAATCAGAATGGTGATTAGCAGATTTTGATTTTTGATTGGATTGGATTCTTTTCCTCCCTAAACTTTTTAGAATAAAGTTTCAGCTATGCAAATTTGGAGTATTTGTGACATTAGAGATATTGTTTGCTACAAAATCTAGAATGGATTGCAGGAATGTCTATGCAAATTGTCTTGTACATCAGCAAATAATACCAATATTTTCAAGAAATTAGAGATTTTTTTTCTCTGTTCCAGTGTTTTGATAATAGCAGTGTTAGTGGAGAGAATATCTTGGGGTTTAAATAGCAAATGTGGTCCTTCAGTGTCCAGGAAATATTATGTACTTTGATCCTAACAGCTTAATTGAGAAGGAATAGTGCATCGTGTACATATGGCATGTACACGATGGAAGGGCTGATAGAAAGCAAAAATTGGGTGAGTAATTCCAAATGCCAGTTTCTAGGCTGTTTTAGGTTTCCCTGTTATAGTGAACAGAGAGAAGGCCCTTAAGGCATGCATTAAGTAGAGTCATGCTTTCAGTCACAGCAATGAGGATGGACATCAGAAGGTGCCCTCCTGCCTTTCAGAAGGAAACCGAGAGCTGGGTTGCATGAAGAGTTGGGCATGTTTGCACAGGCCATAGTTCTTTCAGATCAGCATTCAAAAGCTGAACCCAGTATTGTTCATTGGTTTTGAAGGACTGAAAGTAATATTTTTTTCCTTGTACTTTCTGAAAGCTCTTTTTTTTTTTTTTTTTTGCAGTGAGGACTTTGATATGATTTGAATGTTGAGGCTAGTGTATAGGAAATGTGCCTTTACATATTTATTTATTTATCTATTCCCCCTACTGTATATTTATTTCTCTCTTGGTTCCAGAGCCTGGTTTCTGCAGAGTGACTGAGGATTTCAGTGGCATGGGGAATTCCTGGAAATCTAAGTTTGTTAGCATTGTTGGCTGAATGCTAAATAATTTGATTTGTAGTTCTTAACAAAGCTTTGCCTCCTAGTTTGGGTATGTGGCCTGGTAGGATTCCTGACAGTAAACTTAATAAAGCTCTCAACTCCAGAATGGAGAACACATTATAAAAGTGAGACTGGAATTCTAAGACTTACTATTGTCAGTGGATAGAGGAGGAATAATTTTTTTTTTTCCTAATTCTTTTTGTGATAAAATGAATGGTTTAATATTGTAGTATTTCTAATTTCTCATATTTGTAAGGCCTGCTTTGTGGCTGGTTGAGATGGCTGTGAATCTTACCTAAGAAGATACGAACGAAATATGGACACAGATTGGTGGAAGAGCTTGCTACCGGACATCCAGTGTATTTTAACTGCATGCTATAGTGTGTTCTTCCAAGTAATTTATCTGTGCATTGAGAGGTCATATCACTGTTTGTACCTGTTTAGTTCTGCCGATCTTTATTTTGCCTACCAGCATGCACATTTGATTAATATTTTAGTTTAAAAGTTTTTTGGCTTTCCACCTGCTTGGTAGTATTATCCCTGTTACTGCTTTCCTTGTAATGTACTTAAAATATAGGTTTCTCACTGCATGACCTTCCTGGAGTGTTGAGATAAAAAGAGCACTGAAAGTTCAAAAGAATGCATTTAAACTTAGTACTTTCTTCTACAGAAATTAGGGTGGCACACATCATATATAACACAAATATGCAGTGATTACTTTTGTCCTCGGAGTCTGTATAATATGCCCGATTTCTTATAGCTATGTTATTATCTATGTAAAATGGGAAAATACCACTAGAAATGTTTCATTATGAAAACTAAGAGATGCAGGAAGCAGGGACCTTTCTTTATTTAGGAATATCCTGCAACAGAACTTCATAGGAAACTAGGACTGCCTACCTCCATTATTGTTGCCAGATTAAATTTAGCAAAATAGTTCCACTAGATCCCCCACAGTCTTCCCTTTCAAAGGAAAGAAATTGCATTTGGAGAGTTTTCTAAGATTATCGTGTAGGCTTAAACTCTGTTGTATGGCCATGCCCATACTAAATTTTTTCATTACTCCCATGTCATTTAGGTCGTGTACCTTTTTTTGCAACACTGTCAACAGTAGAATCTGGGTTTCTGGTAAAGGGGGAGGGATATTGGAGAAGGGGAGGTCAATGGGAAAATGTGTTTTCACTGCCCATGTACTGTTTACACAATATACCCAACAGGCTGTGGTCAGCATGTGAATACACTGATCAGCTTAGAGCACACAGCAGTTATTACCTTGCTAATGATAGCAATTCTGATGATAGGCTGCTTATTGCAAATACTCATATTAAACAATTAAAATAGTCTCCAAATGTGCAGTTATCAGCACTGTTATTAGATTTTGCAAGTAATGAAGCTATAGCAGTTAAGAATACAGAAAGTATGGGATGAAATTGTGGTAGAAACTTTTCATTCTATTAAATCAATTATGCAAGTATAAAAACATGTTCAGTAACACCTAATCAATTTTCAAGAATATGAGAAAAATGTCTATTTGAAGAAATAAAATTGTCTTAAATACAATCTAATCAACATCCAGAAATGAAACGTCTCAAATATGATTAAAATGTCCCCGTTGACTGTAGTTTCTTTCTCTTGTCATAAATAAGAGGACTGAGGTTCTCAAGAGAGAATGATAGCTTTTCATACTGAGTATCATTTTTAGCTGTTGTCGTTACTATTTTTCTGGCAGTGACGTTTCTTCACTGATGTTTGAGGGCTGATGTGCCTTGCACTTGGCCAACATTATCCACAGTAATGTTGCTTTTTTTGTCCTAATCTCCATGCTCCTATTTGTTTTTGCTATTTTTTTCAGTCACTGTTTCTAGATCTTGCCTCTTCCAACTTATTGTTATGTTTTATTTTAACTTAAGGAGATGGAGGTCATAGGAATCTCTTCTGGTTCAAATTTTTAAAAGACAGCTGCTAAGTAGTCTGTCATTTTACTTAGATAGCCTTACTTGATGACAGCATAGGTACATATATTCAGGTGATTCACCAAGAAGGACTTGAGAGTGATGAAAACATGTTCTGGGACTAAGGTATCTTTCTTCCTGAATTTCTTTGTCCAGGAATGATAGTCATATATTCAAGACAGAACGAAAAACAAAAAAAAAGTTAAAGAAAAAAAAAAAGGGTTTTGCTATTATTGAGTTAATGTATCTTTTTTTCATATGCTTCTGTTCCTAGCTACTCTATGATTTCCTCCCCTCTCATGACATCTTACTCCTTTTTCTCTCTTTCAGCTGCCAGCATCTCCCTCCTTAGTACTCTTTCCATTACTGTGTCGGTCTCTTCTGGTCTGAGTTTTTCCTTTGCTCTTTTGGTAAGTTAACCCTTGTAAATGACACATTGCTAAGCATATAAAGATATTCCACTTACGGTCTAAAATTAGCTTTCTAGTCTAAGCTTGTCATCTAGGCAACCTCGGTAATCAGTAGCAAAAGATAAATACCACGAGATGGCAATTCATCACATATTAAGATTGTGTTGAAACTGGAGGGTTTAATTGCTGTCTGGGCCACCTGTCTCTTTCTGCTGATTAAAGAGAGAGCCCTAGGTGACAAACTTGGATGAGGTACCTGACTTACCTATGGCTAAAATTAGAGGAAGAAGGTATCCTACCTGTTGTTCAAGGAGTGGTGCTTGCAATGCATTGCCTTTGTAAGGTCTGTCCTATGGAGATAAAAACTGCATAAAATTGGGATAAGAGGGCACTTACAGTTTGGTGTTTTTTGTTTGTTGTTTTTTTTTCCCTGGACTGATTTTCAAGGGCACCAACAGTTATGTTTGATTTTCAGTAGTGACTTCAGCAATGTTGGGACCTTCTAAAAATCAAAACCCTGTTATTTTGTTAGCATAGTAAATATTTACATACCTCTTGTGAATTTCTCACCAAACTGCATCCATTTCGGTTTTGACATGGAGAAGTTAGAAGCTTCAGAACATTTCTGGCAAAGCCATGCAACAACAATGTAATTGGATACAAACCCAGTGTCTGAATCCCATTTTAAAGTCATAGGCAACTAAGTTTACTAGTAGACAGTATCTACTACTGCAGTGGTAGTTAGTAAAATAGAAGCATCCCCACACCAGGTGTCCAGATACAAATTGATAATAAACCATTATTTTAATCAATGCTGCGCATAAGTATTTTGAATTATAAATATAAAGCTTGGGGATACATATGAAACTGTTTATGGAAAAATAATTAATAGAAAGATTTTGCGTAAAACTGTGTGTTAGAAAATATTTATCAGTTACAATTATTTCAGTAGTAAGACTAGTATTTATGCTTATAATGTTTGATCTTCTCTTAACAGTGCTGTAACTCACCACTGAGCCAACACTTTGGGAACAGTTCATAGCATCAAAAACTTCATCGACATAGGCTGATGCCATCTCTCAAGTTTCCAAGCACTGCGAACTGAAGCTACAAATCTTTATGGAACTTCTATCATCTGTGTCAAAGGGAATGTTTTTCTGATATTTAACAAGGACCCTTACTGCCAGTATGATGAGCCAGGAGAAGTGGGTTAACCTTAGTCCGGGAGAGTTCTCTCAGCTTCAGAAATACGCAGAATGTAAGTAACTTTTAAAATATATAATTTTATATATAAAAATTAAGAATATTTTAAATGCAGAATACATTATTATTATATTATTGATGTTATGCACTGCTAATTAGGAGGTTGAACTGTGGTTAATGTAAATGTTTTAATCCAAACATATGTTTTTTGGAGGGGGAATAAAAACCAGTTTGGGTAGGTCTGTAACTTTTTTTTTACTGAACAAATATCCAGTATGGTATTTAATACTACGATATGCATAAGACTGAAAGAAAGCAGTACAGCATTTCAAACAATAAGACCTACAGAAAGAGGGGTTTTTTTCTGAGATACTAGTGTACACACATTTTGGTGTACAAGTAAAAAGTAATAATACTAAATGTTAAAGACTTCATTAAAAGAAAACATACATACATTTTTAAACAAACTATTAGAGAAGAGTGTATTCTACTGACCTAAGCTCAGTGACTAGAACTCAGTGTTCACACTTAAACCTCTATATCATATTGCCATGCTCAGATACTGCGTTGATGACTCACAGCATCTAATATTGTTGACATGAAACAGGTATCTTTAGCAGGTGAGCTTAAAGAGGAGGTGTGCTGAGGTGCCTTGTACTAACCATTAGGAAGCGTTAGGCACAGGGTGTGTTTTGATTTCTGCTTTTCTTAGGAACCTAAGTAAATTTGTTTAAGAAAGTTTGCTCATTTATTTTCAGGAGAGGAGCTGGTGTTCTGTCCATCCAGAAAATATTCTCTTTAAAATGCATTTGCTGGTGTTTTGCATAAATACTTGCTGGTCAGAAAAAAACCCTTCACAGTCTTCCCTTCTCAGGCTTAATTCCTTCAACCTAAGGTGTCTACAAAGTGAGCTAGTGTTTTGCTTGTGTGATACCCCCAGGTGCTTCAGAAGCACACACCACTTTGTGGTTTGATACTCTTAGTTTTAATCCAGTATTGGATGGGGTGGTAACGCAGACTATGTTACTGTATAGCAGACAGGGCATACTTGTAGGAGCTGAGGGACTTTTGTTTGAGTCTTTGTGGTTGAAGCTCACTTGGAACCCATATCCTCAGTATTTCCCCTAACCAGAAGGCAAGCCTATCTCACTTCCACCTGTTTTATGGAGATGACTGTTGCTGCTGGACTTTGCTGAAATCAGTCATGTCTGCAAGTACTACGTTTTTAGAAACTGGTAGAGGAATGTAGATTCTGTTGCTTTCCACTTTCTGACTGAAAGACACTTAGCACCATTTCAGTATAGTTCAGTTTTTAATACATCTTTTGTCAGCTTGATGATAGCTGGTCTACTCTTCCAAGTACTGTTAAACAAGATTTGCTCCTAGCTCTCTGTACAGGTACTGTCACTGGTATCCCATTGAGACATTCCTACCACATCTTCTCTGCCTGTTGTCTTCATCACATATTTATAGTATCATTCTTAACTTTATCCAAGTGTATTGCCTGGTTACACTGAATGTAATTTTTTTTTCCTGAATACACACCAGCTTTTCTCAATTTCCATAAATGTGGCTTAAGGAGAATGAATATTACAACAATTATTCCTAATCACAAAACATTTCCCTCTATGTGACACTCAGAACTCAATACTAACCAAGTATCTCCCAGTAAATTAATCCATGTAATTCATCCAGTAAATTAATCTATAATTTTGTTTTACTGAATTATTTCTTAGCTCAATTCAAGGGAACTTTATACTTCCAGTTTAAGACCTTTCTTTATCTGCTTGCCATACTGAAATCATTAAGGGCTTCAAATGAATTTTTGAAACAGTTTAAATATTACTTTAAAAAGAAGGAAAGTGTGTTTCTAGAATTCAAAGAGCATATTACCTAATACTTGGCTCTTTGTAGTTAATACACGTATGTGTGGTTTTTGAAAGAATAATTATTTCCAAAGACAGTTCCTCTGTGTCCTCCTTGCCAGTCAAATTAAAAATCTCCTCTCTTCTCTTCTTCTGAAGAGAAAGTAGTAGAAAATATTTTGCATTTGATCTTTGCCTGGTTTTAAAGTGCTTCAGAAGAATGTGTGAAAAGAAGGAGAACTGAGACAACTGGTTTGCTCATTATATGATAGTAGTATCAGCAACAACAGTAATGTAGCCCACACAGATTCCTGAAGATTCTAGGGAAATACATGCACTTAAGAATTTATTTATTTTTTCTCCTTTAGATTTCATGATCAATACTGGCTGCAGGAAGGAAAGGCAAAAAGATACAGGGTTTTTTTGTTGGTTTTATTATGTAAAAAAATGTTACTTAAGGTACATAGAGTAAGGTATATATAGGACCTTGCACGTAGATATGGTTTCCTCTAAACTATGTAGTACCCGGTATATGCATAGTTCTGTACTACTCCTAACAGCAGCCTGAATTGTAAAGATGTTAGAGAGAAATGATATAAATCACTTCATGGTGATTATTACCTGTATGGTAAGTTTGATTAGTTTGGACTACATTTTTTGTATTCTTTTTATTAAATGAATTTTATATCTCCTTTTTATTCAATTAAGTTCTTTGGCTGTTGTAGTCCAAATTATATGTTATGGTGAGTTAAGCAGATCCAGCTCCAAAAGCAAGTGAGAAAATATTGAAGGGATTTGAAACAGTTAAAGCAAGACTGTATCATGATTCAGTTAGGCTTTAAAAAGAAAGAAGGAAGCTCTGCCCTTCGCTTAGTAGGCTGAGAGAGTTGGAGGTTAAGGCCTTTGAGCTCTGGCAGCATGTGCACTCTGGGGAATATCCTTTTGAGTTTGTCAACAAAATGTGCCCTGAGGAAAAAGCTTGAAAAAGATTTCACAAAACCTTTGCCAGTGATTTTTTTTCCCAGGCTGGTGTAGGAGAACTTGGGCAGACTGTTACAGCCTGAAGATGGAAATAGATGTTGGAGTGCTACAGAAATGGCTGAGAGAACAGGAACAGCATCAGCAGCTGTGGCGTCTTTTGATGTAGCGTCAACAGCTACTGCAAGAACTAGACAGTGTAAGAATTTTATAGGGGAACTGGAAGGAGGGACTTGTGGAAAAAAAGATCTTGGAGAGAAACAGGAAGGTCAGCAGAAGTTTTGGTCCTGAATTAAGTTTCTAGAGTCTCTTGGGTGGGCTTGGTTCTGTGGCTCTCACTGATGGAAAAAGATTTCTTTTACTACAGATATAAATGACAACCTGCAGGGAACTTCATACATGTGGCAGCTGGTCACCAGCATCTGTGGCCCTTGCACAATTCCTCAGAGGGTCCCAGACTTCTAGTGCCACATGGAATTGTGCTAATTCTGAGGGAATGGGCCTCATCAAAGAATACAGATTGCTAAAACTAGCTATTTTTGGCTGTTTGGAAAGCGGAGTGAGAAAATTGCTGGTGATTACTGTGAATATTTTTACCCCAAGTTTTGGATTTTAGAAGTATGGTATTTCTACTGCTGTTAGTAAAGATGAAGAAAATTAGGTTCTAATAAAGTTTTGTTAGAGCCAGTCAGACTGGCTGAAAGATGGAGTCTGCCAGCACAATATCCCATGCACTTGGAGAACTTCATGGAGAAGGATAATGGGTCTGGTGAGAGCTCACCTCTTTGCATGCAAGGCTGTTGATGTTGAAGTGGCCAGAAAATGTAGCCAGTTAATTAGTGAGTGTGAATCATAGGACTGAATCTGTGACTGGGGACTAAAAATCTAAGAGAAATTGGAGCCCCACTAAAGCATTTGGTGGGCATGTGGTTTAGCTATTCTGAGAAGTGACTATGCTTATTGATACAACACTTATTATTTCTTAAGATCTTTGAATTTAATTCCCTGGTGCATATTCCTGTGTTGTACCAATTTAGAGAAAATAGGACAAGAATATTCTATCTGACAGGCTTAGGATCTAGTCAGATTTGTTCTTTTAAAAAGCTTGACTTTGTCAAAAGGAAGGTGGTTATATACAGTCTGCACTAATGAGGATATTGGATCCAGCTTTATGGCTTGTGTTTGACTGAAATCTAGACTAGAAAAGATATGAAATTGTCAATTTGTTTTTCGTTTAACCAGTCATAGCTGGGACTTGGCCTCTGAAGGTTGTTCCAAGTTGTACAGGGTGGAGAGCTGGGCACCAATGTCAGCTGCAGAAGTATTAGTGGATTTATTTCCTTTCCCTCATCAGGAATCCTGTATTAGGTCTTGAAAATAATGTAAGACAGGTATGATAAGCTGAGCATTTCTGAAGGAAAAGGGGCTAATAAACATATAGTATTATCTGGACCTCTGTAGTGGGATTTTTAAAGATTTTAAATGCTTAATGTTCCTGCCACGAAGCCAGTCAATTCTCCAGTCAACCTGTCTAGGGTAAAGAGGAGGAACCTTCTCATGGCAGTCAGGGGCGATACTCAGGTATATGCAGAACTTGTTTCCTTCTTCCATGCCATACTGAAGAAAGGCATCCAACGTGTTTATGGTACAATAGATTATTTAGGGAAAGGGACAATGCAGAAGAGAATGCTGACCTTCTTACCTTGACTAAAAGGCCTGTAGAACTATTCAGGAGTTACTTTATTTCATAACAAAGGCAAATGTATTTGAGTCCTTTCAGTCCCTCTCAGGCTGCTCTATTTTACTAATTTAAAACAATGTTGTAGGAGCTAATGGCTTTCCTAGAACTTTATTTTAATTGTATACAGTAATAGCACAAAGTAAAGTCACATTGAATGACGTTTTTGGCATATTAGATAGTAGCAAGTTAAATTGATCCCAGACTCCAGAGATAAAATATTCTTAGGCTGTTAGTACTACAAACCCACCATTTGATCATAGAGAGGCACTGGCCATGCTTGCTATGTGAGGAATAGGATGCCATGTCATCTCTTTGAGCACTCGGTGGCATCACTAGAAGATGGCTTTTTGCTTGCAAATACCTTGCACATCTGCTACACCTGGGAGAATGAGGCAGAGAAGGTAATTGCAACACCTGAAGAAGACTGGGATGGTTACTCAGTCTCACTGAGCAGTGAAACACAACAGTTCA